AATTGTGTTTTAAACATGATTATTAAATATAATTATTAATATTGTTAAAGATTTTAATATAATCATTTTCAATTTAATTCAACACGAATTTCCTGGAACATTTTTTAATACTTTCAATAATTTCATTCTTGAAAATAAAGGTTATGCTGAATCGTATTAATCAGCATAGGGTCGAGAAATCAAGCAAGGCTCTGTTGCTCGTTCTCTCCATTCGTCCTTATTTTTCTGCTCCGATAAAACCGTAGTCCGGTGTCCAGTTCATTTCTTTGTTCCAATTCTTTCCATTCCTTTTTTCTATTTTCGTTTTTTCTCCATACTTTTTCCTCCCATGAACCTTTATTTCCGGTTGACCGATATTAAATTCACTCAGGCAGCCATTTTTTGAAAGAATTTACTTACATTAAATGAATAAATGAACGCTCCAATACGAATCCATCAACTGTATACATCTATGTTTCTGCGTCAGTCTTTGCGTTAGTCAATTTCTCCAAATTTTTTTTGTAAGAAATTCACACAAGTAGTAGCCTGGAAAATAGACGACTTTTATCTAGAAGGTAGAAGAAATGGACGAGATTCAGCAAATAAATTATAAAGAACATTGGAATCAAATTTTTAAATCCTGTTCAAAACATTCGAATTTATTGTTGCATACGAAAGTTAATATATTTTGACTAATAAACATTGACTTATAATAGATAATATGACTTTTTCCGTTAATGACTGTCTTGTTCTTCTGAGAAAGTTTTCGTTTTTTCGCTTATCCGAAGAAATTTTTGACGAGGCTATATCTTTGTATACGTATCGTATTTTTTAAGATTTTCTTTCTCTGAGCACTCGCGTTATTCTACTTGTTCACGATTGAATGAATTTATCGAATTCGAATCTGTATAGAATTTGTATAGAAAATGAGGGAGAATGGTAGGTGGTACTTTGAAGAAAATAACGAGTAGAGGTATATAGGATAGAAGAAAGAAAATATTTTTCTGATCATGCTGTTATTCTTCAAATTGAATGTTTTATTTTTACGTTCGGATATTTTTTTTCTTTTTTAGAGTCTTTTTAATTGTTTTCCAACTTTTATATAAGAAATTATATTTTATTTTATGTAAACAAAGTAAAAGAAGTAACAATTAAATATCATGATTTGCAATGAATAACAATGTTCTGATCACAATTGCAATCAATTTGAATACATGTAACTACACGTAAATAAAAAAATTGCTTCATTTTGGCAACACAATTAAAGTGTACACTTTTCAACGAGATCGCAGCAGCAAATTAGTAAAAAATAATTATTTCTAATCGATATAACTTTTGGTAAATGTGAAATTTCTGGAAAAATAAAAAATTAAAATGTACTTAATAAAAAAAAAGAAAATATGATGGTATAGTTAATAATAATTAGTAGTGCGTGCGAGATGAAACACTCGAATATGTTACAGCTGTTTTGAGAAAGGAAATTCATGAATATATTTCACGAGAATAGCATTTAAAAGCAAGAAAAATATTTCTTTACGCTCATAATCAAGGATTAACTAGAGTTTAAAGTTTAATAGAATAAGTAAATATATCGGTACGCATCAATTCGCTGCAGCAAGCTCAAGATAGAAAACTTTCCCATCGATTACATTAGAAAGCCAAGCTATCGGATTTCATTTTTGCGAAAGCCCGATACGTTAGCTCCGATTAAACGCACAAATAATGCCATTACTTGAGATTTCTTTTTATAGATGCAGTAGGTAGTACCGTTCGGGTATATACATAAAATTATTTCTTTGAAATTTGAAAAGTTCATCGCATATTTTGTTAGCGAGTTCGAACGAACGAGAAAGTAAGAGAGAGAGAGAGAGAACAAGAAAATACCTTTGATACTCGCAGAAATTCAGTGAGAAAGCTCCAATGCGAGAATACGAGAGGTTATCGAGTAATCTTTATATTATCGTTCAAGCGGGAATCATATCCTACTGAGCTTCCAAGTTTCTAGTAAAGATTTGATCCCGCAGAATGGAATAGCGCTACAATCTCATCAGTAAAATGTACAAAAAAAGTTTTTGTTAACTTACCGAACAACCGACGTTGGAAGCAACCAAGGAGTCTCTCGAGAACAAATTTTGTTTCTTCTTGTATAACATACTTTCATATATATTCGTTTATACGAGGTCGTTTTCGTGTGGAGGATAAAAATTTCATGTTTAAAATGTCAAACGAGATGAGTATGCCTGATATGTTATCTTCTTTTAGATTAAGGTGTCTTCAAACCAATAATTTTTATAATTTCCATTTCCATTTAGTAGAAAAATAATCTTGGCCTAAATTCGCCATCGAATTATCTCGTTGTATATGGATATACTTTGTGGGATAACTGGGAACAGCTGTTTTACATGAGGACTTATGACATGCTTTGTTGTACAAACGTAATTCAAGCTTGTTAGAAATGTTTTACATTATGAAATCAACTATTCTAAAGTTTCAGCTTTGATCGATGATGACGTTTTCCACCGTTAATATTATACAATTTTTGTCAGTAACAAATATCTTCGGTGTCGAACATTGCTTACAGATCAATATCGTTGATTTACTATATTTAGGAAGATTATCTACACTTTTTACCGTAGCTCTCGGAATATAAAATACGTAACTTTAAATGACGATTTTTGTAAAGAAAGTTTTGAGATTCCTAAAGTTTGCGTCAGAATTTTGACAAGGGTAGATCCCAAAGTGTTTCACTATTTTTGATTCAGAACCTATGAAACAATTTTATATATGACATCAATATCATATTATGCAAGCAACAACCTTTATAATTGTATACAAAAGTTGCTTATAAGTTTTGAATCAAAAATGGTGGAACACCTGGGGACTGTCCCCTGTGAACAGATAAAGTTTTGAATAGAAATGGCTATGTTCTATATATACGTAATATACGATGGTCAGTTTTTAGTCAGGTTGCACATCTTTTATCAAGGAATGACTCTAAGGAATGTGCATTTGATGATTACGGAGGAGATAGGAAATATTGATCGATAGGATAGAATAGAAGATGATTGGATTGGAAAATAAATTAGAATTCTAACAGTAAGCGAAGCAAAGAATAGGGTATTAAAATAAATATTTCAAATCGCTTACCTTTTTCACCAATAGCGTGTTCATTTACAACAGACTTCGTCTAACGATAGACGAATAATATCCGATAAATGTTATAGGAGAATTTACTCTTACGTTTGTTTCTATTACTGTGTTAGCTATTGTAAGTTTCTCTTAGGTTGCAGATTCACTGATTTCCGAATTAAATGTATTCAGTTTATTCCCGGTTTCACAGAATGCTGAATACAGAATTATCAACTCACTACAAACTTATTAACTATTTAGAGATTGGATTTACTGAATATAGAATAATAAATACTTATTGACTGATTAATTGGTTGCAACAAACTAACTTATTCCTGATGGCTTTCTTCCACGCCCCTAATTCATCGTGCAAGGATTTAGCAAAAGATAAGAGATTTTATTTTTATTGAGTATGAATAATAATGACTACAATTCTAATTGGATAAGGATTCCATAAGGTATATTACATTACAAAAAAAAATAAATTTATATAGGATGTAACATAATTCATATTCAGAAATGTATCATATTACAAATAAAACAAAATAAATTTAATTATTTAAATCTCACACTTTTGCTAGGTTCAAGAGCGTTGTTGACATAAATTCAAATTTCAATAAAAAAATATTTCCTAAACGAAAAGGATATTTTATCCAATGTTATATTATGCAAAGTTATGAAATATGTTAAGGGTATATTCAATGTACGTTTAGTGTACAAGAACATGCTTCACAAGTATAATGTTTGTTACTCAGTTGGTAGTTGCCACATTGAGTAGCTCTTGTAGTGGACTATTTTATGACTTCATATTACGTAATATTGGATAAAACGTCTTTTTCGTAAAGAAAAATTTGAAAAATGTTTTTATTGGAATCGGTATTTACGTTAGTAACGCTCTGTAACTCCTTAAAAGCGAGATATTTAAACATTGATTTGATTTGGTTTTACTTGTAGCACGCTATGTTTCCGGACATGGACTTTCATTCAGAACCTTATATACTTATATAGTCATCTCTGCAAGTCCTAGGAGTTTTTAATAGGAATTTCGAAACACCCTGCATATTAATCTTTCAAAGTTAAAAATGACACTTAAGCTTTCCGTAGAAAGATATCGGTTTACACAGAGATAAAGTGGTCATAATTCCCAACGAGCTGTGAAAGTTCCGAAAGTTCAAAGGTTACATCATTCCTATCTTTTCTGCGCGAGCACTGTAGATAATATCGTTAGAACTCCATCAACCACGATCCTTTTCAAAGCAACGACGTCACATTGTTAAAACATTTAATAAAATCCTTACATTTCTCAATATCAATGAGTCAGCTTTGTGACAATTTTTGTTTTAAATCTTATCGTACAAAAAAATTTTTATAGGTTAACAATTAAATCACGATAAAACAGAAAATTATCTTATCGACAATGAAATATACTTTTTCTTTTTTTTTTTTATTTCAAAGAAATAAAATAAGGTTAATCATATTTCGGGTCACGTTTTGTAATTGTTCAAATATATTTATTCCTTTGTCTGTGAGTATACGTACCTGTTCTCATTTCAACGTATCGTACGTAATCAACCTAAATAAATGAATATATAGGACGTCTATTTTAAAACCGAGCACCTATATATTTTTCCTACAGAACTTTGTATATTATTGTATTTATCCAATCGAACGAAGCAATTTTGTCCCGTAATACTTTCTCATACCACTTAAATCAACAAAAATATTTAAGTGTTTAATTAGAAATATAAGATATTTTCTATATGTTCGTATATCGTGATATAATTGCAATAATGTGTTGTACAAACGCACCTGATATACTTTCAATGCTTATCATTATTATCGAAGTTAGATATATAGAGATTAATAGAACAAAAAATGTATTATGATTTCAGGATCGCGAGTTCGTGGAGATGGAGGTGCCCTATAACGGTGCCCCAAAGAGGCCAGGTTCACCGTCACCACTGACGTCACCTGCCCATAGCACTGCCTCGAGAGGTGGCCTCCTGCACTCCTGTTGCGGTCGCTGCTACCCTCAGCGTTACCAGGTACGCGGTCGGCGTATACTTGTCTCAACAACCTCGATAAGCGAGGGTCCACCCTCATCTTCCTCCCACTCTCACCAATCGCAGACAACCTGCCAGAATCCGCAGGCTAGCCAGTTAGTAGATCCGACTACTGTGCCGAACGTCGCGTTCAACTTTCCAGGCGAGGACAGACGTCGTCAAGGCGCGAGCACTTCGAGCCCGTACAACGAGACAAGGGTGTGAGCTGAGCTAACTAGCTAGCTAGCTCAATGGAACTCTACGGTTTCTTTCCTATCAAAATGAAACAGCACAAAAGAAAACACACATTTCTCGTCTTAAATAACGCGTTCCTTTTTCCTTCTTACAATGGTACGATACACACACACGAGATTATAGGCTGATCCTTGAATAATTATCATCTTTTATATCCTCACGACATATCGTAAGGATTAAATAATAGATACTTATGATTAAGACGAAAAGAAGGGAGTAGGATAGTTCTCATATATTCGAATAACGTCTTCGGTCGTTCGTACATTGATTTTTGACAAGTTCAACTTTTATCGCTGCTAGTTTAAATCTTTATTTTTGTTTGTTCTCTCTCTGTGGATATAGGATTTTCTTCTTTACCGATGACGTCATTAAAACAATTTTACCTTTATTTTCTATGTTTTTTTCTTTTTTTTTTGTCATCGTTATCGAATTCTTTCGAACGAGAACATATATCTCTTAATTATTATCATCATCATCCTGTAATAGAAAGGTTGAACGAGATTCTAAACTTGGTGACAAGAATTTAATAGGTTAGTTGGAAAATCATGACGATGGAGTAGTTCCAATAATACGCTGGTCATACTGGCGATTTGATAAACGTTCGTAAATTCCTGCCATATGTCGGAAATCAAATGTGACGACAAAATTCCGTTGTCATCGCTTTTGAGAATGCCAAAATAGAGCGTCACTATATTCTACAACGAATCTCTCTGGCCTCTATTTCTTTATTTTTCCCCTCGCACGTTGTTTTTATCTTTTTCTCTACTGTGTCGCACGTAGTTGCTACATCCCTCTCTTCGATCGCGTTCTATTTTCAATAATATAACCACGGTGGTCGTTAATCGGTCCACCATGTAATACTCGATGAACGGTTCGTGTTATATAGTACATATACATATATATGAATATATGCATAGAAAGTGTACTGATATCGTGCATCTTTTTCCTGACATAATTTATTCTAAATAAACTATACGCCGGTTCATATTATTTTGGATATTTCACTTTAAACGATTTGCATTTGTTCATTTAATTTCACATAGATATCGTATATTTTATCTTGATTTATTATTTTTTCAATTAAATATTGAATTATTATTGATCGATATATCATTTTGAATTCGAGAATTCAAGTTTAATTGAAATAATATTTTATTGTAATTACTTTAACGTTGAAACATTAGAAATATTTTTTATAATTCTATTTATTATTGCATTTTTGAAAAGAAAAATTTTGACTCCGATAAAGATAAAATGAAATTTTATTATTGTTCAAGAAAAAAGTATGCGATAAACAGACATTTTATTGGCTAAAGTCGGAATTAAACGAATCGTCTCGTCGATTTCGTGGACTTGGTTCACGATTAACTGTCTCTCCAAGCACTGCCCTGAGAGTTCGAATTGTTAATTGGTTCTCTCGAATGAATATTTTTTGCTTTTACTGCTGGTATAAAAAGATTTCCTAATCGCTAGGATTTTATTTTTTCAATGTGAAATCGTGAAGATCGTTTTATCGTTTCTCTCGTAAATCTTATTATGAGAATTATCCTCGGAGATGGAGTTATCAAATTTAGAATATTCAATACACACATATATATATATATGAATAATTAAATATATATATATATAAATCTAAATATATGCATAAAATAAATAAAAATAAATAACAAATATATTCATCGTTGCCACTCCCTCTTTATCGATGAAATCGGGAGTGGGATCTACTCTTGGAAATAATTATTCTAGAAATTTAATTGACTTCGTACCGAATTCTAAATCAGTGTCGTAGATATTTAAAAATACATAGATTCGAATGCGAACGTACTGGATTTACGCAACGAATCGATAAAAGGGCAAATAAAAGAAGAGAAAGTGGGAACAAAGGAGACTGAAGTTCAAATAACTTCAATTCAATTAATTCTTTAAATATTAAAATGTACTAATTTTTTAGGCAAAATATATAGATGTAAAATATAAAAGATGTTCAAGGATTTAGGTCAAATTTATACTACGTGTTAATGAAGTCGAGTCGGTAGAAAAAGTTGTTATAAATTCATATTAAAAAATGTGTTATTGAAAAGTTATAAGCGTTCGAAGATTTTCATTAATTGTTATGGCAGTTAAATATTCCTTTCTTCAAATATGCTGACCTCCATTCGTTGAATTAATAATTATCGAATTTTTTCGAATATGTATTTCTATTCAATGAAAAGTAGTAGTTCATAAATAGATTTTGAATATATTTTTAAAACAGGTCTTTTCTTCTTAACAAACATCATAAATAATAGGTTTTAAAAACGTGTAAATAAGAACTTTCAATAAGAATTATTTGTCTTTCTCTATAATTTCTTATAAGTTATAAGAACAGTTTTATTTGTATTTTTAAAAGAACGCTCATAATTTTTCAGTAAAGAACAACATTTTCGGATATATGTATTTAAGTTATTATGAACTTTTAGTTTTTATCTACTTGGCCTCATTAGCATGAAAATATAAATTTAACTCCAATTTTTCTAAACACCTTGTATACAATATACATATATATATATATATCGTACACTATTCTTTAGTCTCGTTTTGTTCTCCTGAAAAAAAGAGAATACTTCTATAAAGGGGAGAAAGTTTTAATTGAAAAAAAAAAAATAATGAATAAAAACGAAACTAGGAAGAGAAAGCAATTTGCGAGGACTAACCAGTGCTGAAGTTTTTCAAAATTATGTGATAAGGAAGACAGTCGGAGAGCTTCTTTACGCGTGTTAAAGTTTCTTCTATCTTCGTTAAACTTCGCCTCGGATATCCGGTACGTTTACTTTCGGCAACGACGATGATCAAATTTAATAGGTCACTATCTATAGATTGTAGTTTCCGCGTCTTTTGATTTATAACTTCGGTAACGGCGAACATATTTTCTCTGATCAACTCTGGTCTATACCAATCTTTGTCTTCACTTCGAATTCCCAAATTTGAAGTATATCTCTCTTTCTCTTGTTCTATTACTCGAAGTTGTTCCAATCCGCGTGCAACATGCAATAATAAATGAATAACGTTTTTCGTTACGAATGCGCAGCATAACATAAAATCATAAACTTCCTTTTAATACGTTGACGACGACGCTGTTTTCTGTATTATTATTTACAAGATTATCTAATGTGAAACACCTGTGGTACACGTTAGCGTCAACGTGTTAAAACAAATATTTTAAATAATTTAATAACTTTTTTACTCAAAATATAATTATCGCGTTAATAATTATTATATTTTTTTATGTGCGGGCCTAAAACAATTTTTTATTTGCAAATGTGATTCAATGAAGTCAAAGGGTTGGATATCCCTTTGACTTCATTTTACATTGCTCTTAAATTCAGAAAGTATAATTTAGGTTGCGTCTTACAGAATGGATAAGCCAGTCATTGGATACTTGATAAGATCGTTCTTGAAAATTTGACGTATCGACTCGTAAATCCTCCTTCCTAATGTAATATCGATCGTTGATAGGAAAGTAAGAAGAACGCAGATTTATGTTTCTCGTGTAATTTAATTTTTTACGTTTTTATATCTATATTTATGTTTATTCACAAAATAAATGGAACTTTAGAGAGATGGTGATTTAAACAATATCTTTTTAATATACGAAAATTTACTTAATAAAGATAAACATATCGACCGTATTCTCTCTAAAGTTTTATCGATTAGTCGCTAACTTTCGTGAAAGTTTTTTTACGTTATCGATTAATTATAAACTTCGAATATTGAATGAAAAACTTAATGAAAAAGTAACGGCATATAAAATATTTAACATTAATTACGTTTACAAGTTTAAATTATTTCTTAACGGTGTATTATATTAAAAAGATTCTTGAAAACATTTACACATAGAATTTAATTAATTACGAGTAAAGGAGGTTTTTCATTAAGGATTTGAAGGATTGCTTGGATCGTAGAATTTGTTTGATCTTTTCTTTTAATTTTATAGAATCAAATCTTTGTTAAGGTATGAAATATTTATTATAGTAAAATTATTGTCGGCTTAGGCATCTATCGGTTGAAACATTTGGCAGTTCGATGTATATCGACTCGTAAATCAGCCTCTCGCATAACCGGGAGGTTCGACGTTAACGAGGGAAAATGAGAAGTGATAAATGACTTAGTCGCTCGACAGATCCAGGACGAGACCCCCATCGAAACCCCTTAACTGTGCCTTCTCTTCTATCTCCACTTTTATGGAAGCTATTTTTCACTGGTTCATCATTTCTCTTTTTAATCTTTCTCTAAATCCTCGTTCGCGTTAATCACTGATTAACATGCAATCCGACTTAGTAATGTGTCTTGAGCACGCTTTACTGTTACCGACTTACCCTCAAATTTTTCTGTGATATTTCTCTTAAAGAACAAAATGGAAAAAGATCAGATATATATATTTACGATCCAAGTTATTATACTTGCTCAAAATCACTCTATTTTCTATAACGAATTTTTGTCTTCAAACAATTTATATTTTTGTGAACAAATAAGAGTAGTTCCTTTAGATTCATTCATAATATTGATTTAACAATAAGTCATAATATCACTTAACCAACAAAATAAAAGGTGATTTTTTTGGAAATTTTTTCTCGTACATTAGAAAAGTTATTATTTTATTTATCGACTCTTTATGTGTATAATCAATTTTTGTTTTATTTACAAAAATCTTCTTATGTACCTTTTTTGGTTTTTCATTCAAAAAATGGGGCGTAAAATACAACGGTGTG